ACACACACACACACACACACACATAATTATTTTAAAACTAAAAAAAAAATAAAAAGAGCTTTATGAAGAATCCAGCAATGTGTCTAGGAGAACAACCATTCCATCTTTACAAATTTAAAAACTAAAATACCATTCACTAGAATCTCCAAATCTCTTAATATCAAGAGAGAATATCTAGCACAGAAAACTGACGTTGAGACTCTATGCAATTATTTGAAGAAAAAAAAGAATGATTGGCAAAAGAGATGCCAAAGACAGACGGAGAAAGAAAGAAAAGTTTAGATAGTTATTAAAAAAAAAAAAAAGATAAAACCAAGTCATGGTAGATGACAAAACACATATAAGGCTGTATTGATGTGTGTGGGAAAAAATAAGTCTGATTAAGCCTCTAAGGCTTCTTAGAGAGGTTAAAAGAAAACTGTAAGAGAAAGTTGGCATATAGCTCAGTAATGGAGGGCTTGCTTAGCATGTGTGAGGTCCTGGATTGGATCCCTAGCACTGAAACAAAACAAAACAAACTATAAGAGGAGTATAAACTTGAGAGTTGTAGACAATGACAATGCAAATGTGTTCTGGAAGGAAAAAATACAATAAAGGGAGAGGAATGAGGGCTATAGCTAACTATTATATTGTACCTGTTTTGAGCTAAACATGTTACCCATTTAAGTAAATGGTCCAACTCTGAAATGGGATAAAGTTATAGAAGTTTTGGTAGATGATTTAAAAAATTATTACTGCTTATCTTTTATGATGATACAAAGTTGAGAATAAAATGAATGCGTGAGTGGGATTCACTATGGCTGGAACATAATGGTCATATTTTAAGCACAGCAATATACCTATATTCTATCTGTACCTGAAAACCTTCAAGTATCAACAAAAGAATAACAGATATAGTATCTGTTAAACAAAATTGTATTTCTTTTGGTCACATGGAGGAACTATTATTACCACATTTTATTAAAAAGTTTGATATTCCATGGACTAATGAAAATCATGAAAAAAAAATTCCTTCTCAGAGGGCATTTTATTTTAGGATGAAATTTAAGTTAGTGACGACCCTGGGATTTGTATTTAAAATAAGAATTCATACCCCATTTGAATCAAATGTATGATATATGATATGTCAAGATTAATGTAATGTTTTGAGCAACGAATAAATTTCTGATGTTTAAAATAAATAAATAAATAAAACAAGGTTCAGAACCCAAAGTCTCTTGGAAGATTTTTATGGGTAAAGAGTTTAAATACCCTAAAATTATATATGATAATCTGTATATCTTAATTTTTTGAAGAAACTCTATATCTTTTACTAGCATTTCAAAGGTGCCCAAGACCCCAAAAAACTTAGGATCTTTCATCTAGAATTAGAAAAAAGCAACTGAGTAGCCTTATGGTTGAACTCTTGTCTCTTATCACCCTGGTTCTCAAAATCCAAGATAGGAAAACTCAAAATTTTACTTCGGTCAACTTCAAAAATCTCTATCAATATTTTTTTAAAAGACAAGGGATTGAAAGTATACAATTAAATTTAGATATTGAAGTACACTATTTTTTCAATGAACTATTCTACCATATCTTGTATGAAGGAAACATGCAAAATATTCTTGTTGACTTAGTGGGCAAAGAAAATCATCCAGGGACAAAACTTCCAATTTTTTTCTATAAATTACACATTTCCAAATTAGTTCTTGAGAAATAAACTTGCCTATCAAAAGGTAACTCCTGGGCGATTAGGTGCAACTTCTGAATGATGTCTGCTGCCTCCTTTATCTATTAAAAATAAATAGAAGCAATAATTTTAAAACCCAAGCAATATTGTTATATTGTGTGATTGTACAAACATGTAACAACAAATCTCACCATTAGTTACAACTAAAATATACCAATAAAAATATGGAAAAAAATAAGTAAATAATTCATGATATAAACACATCAATATATTTGGAAATAGTATTATCTTCCTATATATGTTCAAATCCCCTCCCTCAAATAATTTTCTTTAAAAACACACAACAAATAAAATTTTGTGACCAACAAGAATACATTTGGGGTATCACCACAATGAGCCAAAACCCAAAGATTTGTCTTTCTGGTACTAAAATTTTTATATATATTGTATGTATTTTTTTTCTTGATGCCATAACACCTTCCTAATGAAATCTGTTGTCCAAGTTTACTATAAAGAAGTTAAAATCATTGCTTGCTGAAAGCAAAGTGTAAAATCCTCTAAGTTTATAAACCCAAAAAGGATAAAGATTTTAAAATGATTCAGARCATATTGCTTCATATACATACTTTACTCTAAATGAATAAAACAGCAACAAAAATTCCTGTCATTTAGTAAGCATATAAATTTATAACACTTGTTCTAAAAGCAAAGATAAAAGTTTAACATAAAGTTACCTGAATAAAACATAGAAACATGTATAGTTTGTCAAGTTGTAAAATGAAGGCACTTAGGCAAGGGCCTCAAATGCAGATTCTGTGTTTATTTATACAACATTTTAAAGGGGAGTTATATCATGTTCACTTTTTCTTTAAATTTCAAAATACTACTGATTTTTAACCTGGCATAACTTTAATAACTGCGTTGTGATAACTCACTTTCCCATACATTAAAAGAGAGAGACAAAAAAAACATGAAGGAAGAGCTAAAAACATTAGTATAAATTTTTCTGAGTATTTATGTGAAGACTAGCAAACAACTGTGGGTAACAACAGGGCTTGTTTCTACTTGTTACTCCAAATGATAGTGAATATAGCATTTCTGCTTCAATATCTCTCCTCTACTATTCAGCAGGTCACTGTCATTTTCAGCCACAACTCACTCACTCTACCCTGCTGAACATAGGTACAGGTATTACTACAGTACCACGCCTCACCATGCCATTTAGTTGCAGTAGCAGTCTATTATTTTCTCCTTTCCATTATCCCTTCAGAAACAAAATAGCTGGCAAACAGCAAGCTCAGTTTCCATCAAGACTTAGTATTTGTTCTTTTAAGAGACATAAGTATGCTGTTTGCAAACTTCGCTTAATGTAGTATGTAATAGAAAGAGTGCTTGGTTTTACTGAATTCTCAAAGCTAATTGTTTTATTAAAATTAGAGCACAAGTAATCCTTAAAGTTGTAACGTATTATAGTTTAAATATGCAAAAGGTGTCAAAACCACTATCTAATAATATACTTAACGTCTGTTATTGATTATAGAGTGAACTGAGAGACTACTCAGTTTTAAAGATAATCAGAGTCATCAAGCATTGTCTACTGAACAACAATAAGCTACAATTCTAAGATAAATGAGGGACATGCATGTAAGGACAAGGGTAAATATAAAAAAGTGCTTTTTAACTTTTACATTTTATTGTTGTTTTGGGGTTTTTTCTTTTTAAAGAAAATAATAAGAGAAGATTGTGAAAAACAAGGATTAAAAAAAACAAAAATAACTAGGGAGCAAGAAAAAAGAACCTGTGTTGGCATCTTATCCCATTTTATTTCCTCTCACAATTACATCTCTCTAGATTCATGGCTGATTTTCCTTTTCTTTGAGAAAGGAGCTGCCACAGAATCCATAAATTGAGATAACTAGAAGCTTATCTTATAATAGGCAATCAAATATGACATATGAGTACTTAAGTGTACTTAACTGCAGTAGTACCAGGCCTAAAAGGATTCTTTTTTTTTAATTGATTTTATTTTTTAAATACATGACAGTGGAATGCATTATAATTCTTATTACACATATAGGGCACATTTTTTCATCTCTGTTTGTATATAAAGTATGTTCACATCAATTCATGTCTTCATACATGTACTTTGGATAATGATGTCCATCACAGTACACCATCATTGCTAACCCCCTGGCCCCTCTCTTCCCCTCCCACCCTTCTGCCCTATCGAGAGTTCATCTATTCCTCCCATGTTCTCCCTCCCTAACCCACAATGAGTCAGTCACCTTATATCAGAGAAAAGGTTTGGAATTTGCTTTTTGGGGATTGGCTAAATTCACTTAGCATTATCTTCTCCAACTCCATCCATTTACCTGCAAACGCCATGATTTTATTCTTTTATTGCTGGTAATTTGAGTTCTCTCTCCTCCTCTTCATTAGCGTGGCTAAGGGTCTATCAATTTTATTTATTTTTTTCAAAGAACCAACTTTTTGTTTTGTCTATTTTTTCAAATTTTTTGGTTTCGATTTCATCTCATAATTATTTCCTGTCTTCTACTACTTTTGCTGTTGACTTGTTCTTTTTCTAGGGCTTTGAGATGTAATGTGAGGTCATTTATTTGTTGACTTTCTCTCCTTTTAAAGAATGAACTCCATGCAATAAACTTTTCTCTTAGTACTGCTTTCATAGTGTCCCAGAGATTTTAATATGTTGTGTTTATGTTCTCTAAGAATTTTTTAATCTCCTCCTTGATGTCTTCTGCAACCCACTGTTCATTCAGTAGCATATTGTTTAGTCTCCAGGTGTTGGAGTAATTTTTGTTTTTAATTTTGTCATTGATTTCCAATTTCATTCCATCGTGATCTGATAAAATGCATGGTAGTATCTCTACTTTTTTGTATATGCTAAGAGTTTCTTTGTAGCATATTATATGGTCTATTTTACAGAAGGATCCATGTGCTGCTAAGAAACTGTATCTGCATGATGCAGGTTCAAATATTCTCTATATGTCAGTTAAGTCTAAGTTATTGATTGTATTATTGAGATCTATATTCAACGTTTGTTTGGAAGATGTATCCAGTGGTGACAGAGGTGTGTTAAAGTTAACCAAGATTATTGTGTTGTGATCAGTTTCACTCTTGAACTTGAGAAGAATTTGTCTGATGAGCATAGCTGCACCACTGTTTGGGGTATATATATTTATGATTGTTATGTCCTGCTGGTGTATGGTTCCCTTGAGTAGTATGTAATGTCCATCTTTATCCCTTTTGATTACCTTTGGCTTGATGTCTACTCTGTTTGATACTAGGATGGAAACCCCTGCTTGCTGCTGCAGTTCATGTGAGTGGTATAACTTTTCCCAACCTTTCACCTTCAGTCTCTGTTTTTGTTATCAGATGAGTCTCCTGGAGGCAACATATTGTTGGGTCTTTTTTTTTTAATCCAATCTCCTAGCCTATGTCTTTTGATTGGTGAGTTTAAGTCCTTAACATTCTGGGTTATTATTGAGACATGATTTGTATTCCCAGCCATATTGTTTATTTTTATTATTTAACTTGATATTCTTCTTTAAATTCTTTTAACTTTTGCTTATTATGGAAAGTTTTTATTTCATCTTCAAATCTAAAGCTTAATTTTGCTGGATACATTATTCTTGGTTGGCATCCATTTTCTTTCAGAGCTTGATACATGTTGTTCCAGGATCTTCTAGCTTTTAGGGACTATGTTGAAAAGTCTGCTGTTATCCTAATTGGTTTTCCCCTATATGCAATCTGATTCCTTTCTATCATGGCTTTTCCCAAAAGGATGCTTATTAGGCAAGCAATAACCCAGAACTTATAGAAGAGATGAGAGGAAAAGAAGTCAACTGAAAATGGAGGAATAAAGTATAAAAAAATAAGAAACAAAGAAGTTAAAAGAAAAAGGGGGAGTGTCAGTGTAGGACTCCTGGCTACTGGTCCAAGCAGGTCCTCCAAGTGCCCGAGTAGGACCATCAGCATTAGCACCCATGCAGGACACCTGGCTGCAGCCCACCTACAGGATCCAGCTGCCATTCCCGTGTGGACCCCCCATCTACCAATGTGGGGCTTCCCCAGTGGCCTTCATCTTGGGGCACTGCAACCACTGCCACAGTCCCCTACATGAAGTAGCCTGTACCTGGGGACACTACACTGGGTCTGGTGACAGCCACAAGACTGCATGCCACAAAGCTGTGTCTCTGAACACGCCTCTCAATGCCACCACCTGGCCCCACCCCACCCAACCCAACACCCCATTGCTAAAAGCAGCCGCCTACATCTTGGGACACCATTCTTGCCATCTTTAATTGGGGCAACGCCCAGCTTGGAACACGGGCTGGAGCTTAGAAACAATATCAAGGTAACCCAAAATTGTACCCCTAACCCAGCACAGTTCCTGCAGCTAGTGGCCATTCGGTAGCTCGCAAAACTGGGTGGCAAAACCAGGTCCTGAACTGCCCAATATAAAACAGCTCTCCAAAGGAGATCCTGGGTCCAATAAGTGGTATACCCTACCTCCAGGAGCTACGCTCCTGACACCAACACTCCCACCCTAGTAACCTTCACCATCCTGAGGGTAGAGATACCAGCAAACACAGACGACCCTATTAGATGAGAAGAGAAGTTGGAAAGATACTGATCTCCAACAAAAACAATCTTTGTATCTATCTTCGAAACTTTTTTCCTCTCTTTTCACATCCCCAACATTTGTGAAATCAAATACTTTTCATGAGTTAGGCTACTGAGGACTGGGATATCTGAATAGTACATTACAGTGATATTGTATATTCTTTTACCTCCTATTTTTACATTTTTATTTTTCTTAATATTCAAGTTTCTTTGTTTTTTGCACTCTACTGTCTTCCCACTTACTTGTCTCCCCAAAAACATCACATTCTGTCTCTTCTCTTGCTAATAACCAACCTCTTTAGATTCCTCTTGCACACTTTCTAAGATTTAATAACYATATCCTCACCTCCTACCCCCAGCATCTCATCCTACACCTCACCCCCAGTTCTTTGTCCAACATCAGAAACGGTAGGCCCTTTTTACAAACCTACTGTTTATAATATAGATGATAATT